TCGACTCGTCTTCGGGCATCTTCATCACTGACGACACCATCTTATAAATGGCCTGTGGAAAAAAACACAAACAAACACGAGTGACGTCTGTGTCCCTGCTCTGTTTCACTCACACCATTTCAAACCTTTTCCATGACTTTTCCATGACCTAAAGTGAATTTTCCATGACTGTACGGCACCGACGTGTAGAACTGATCAGACTTTTGGAGATAAATCGGAAATGTTGAACTCTTTCCCATCAGAAAATGTTCAGAGTGTTTACAGAACTAGTGTCCTGGTTTAGTTCTGGTTCAGTCTTGTTTTAGTCTTGTTTTAGTCTTGGTTTAGTCCTGGTTCAGTCCTGTTTAGTCCTGGTTTAGTCTTGTTTAGTCTTGTTTTAGTCCTGTTTTAGTCCTGTTTTTAGTCTTGTTTTAGTCTGTTTTAGTCCTGTTTTAGTCCTGGTTTAGTCTTGGTTAGTCTTGTTTTAGTCCTGTTTTAGTCTTGTTTTAGTTGTTTCCTTATTTTAGCCTTGTTTTAGTCTTGTTTTAGTCCTGTTTTAGTCTTTGTTTTAATCCTGTTTTAGTCTTGTTTAGTCCTGTTTTTAGTCCTGTTTTAGTCTTGTCTTAGTCTTGGTTTAGTCCTGGTTTAGTCTTGGTTTAGTCCTGGTTTAGTGTTTTAGTCTTGTTTTTGTTAGTCTGTTTTAGTCTGTTTTAGTCCTGTCTTAGTCCTGTTTTAGTCCTGGTTTAGTTCTGGTTTAGTCCTGGTTTAGTCCATTATCAGTTTTTTTTTTCCATTTTTCATTTAAACACAAACTCGAAAACAGAAAAAACAAATCATTATCTGTTTTTGCATTTTGGTTTTGGAGACAAATAATGAAGAAAATAGTTGTTGTTGTTTTTTTCATTTCTTATTTTTGTTTTTATTTTGAAAAACAAACGACCGAATGACACTCGGGGAGGGCATCTGACACACGAGGAGCTCTAACCGTGTGTGTGATTTGGCCTTCAGCTGCTCGTGGGTCATTAGTCGTCCTGTGGTGTGTTCGGAGCCGCACACTTCACTGACCCTCGTTCACATTGGTTGGTTTCCACAAACAGTGGCTGAGTAAATATTGATAGAGTCGTGCAGGAGGAGGAGGAGGGAGTAAGAGCAGATAAGAGCGATCGGCCTCACAGCGACACGGAGCTGCTCACGTCAGGGCGCGGCTCCTCATCACACCACAAATCTCAAAACCACTGACTCGTGTGCTCCTCACTCCATTAAAAACACACCGATGAACACAACGCTGGAGAAAGAAAAACAACGAATAACAACTCTAGAGAACGAATAACAATGAATAACAACTCTGGAGAACGAATAACAACGAGTAACAACTCTGGAGAAAGAAAAACAACGAATAACAACTCTAGAGAACGAATAACAACTCTGGAGAACGAATGACAACTGAATAAAAACTCTAGAGAATGAATAACAACGAGTAACAACTCTAGAGAACGAATAACAACGAATAACAACTCTAGAGAACGAATAACAACGAGTAACAACTCTGGAGAAAGAAAAAAACAACGAATAACAACTCTAGAGAACGAAAAACAACTCTGGAGAACGAATGACAACGAATAAAAACTCTAGAGAATGAATAACAACGAGTAACAACTCTAGAGAACGAATGACAACGAATAACAACTCTGGAGAACGAATAACAACGAATAACAACTCTAGAGAACGAATAACAACTCTGGAGAATGAATAACAACTCTAGAGAACGAATAACAACGAATAAAAACTCTAGAGAATGAATAACAACGAGTAACAACTCTGGAGAACGAATAACAACTCTGGAGAATGAATGACAACGAATAATAAAAACTCTAGAGAACGAATAACAACGAGTAACAACTCTAGAGAACGAATGACAACGAATAACAACTCTAGAGAACGAATAACAACGAATAAAAACTCTAGAGAATGAATAACAATGAGTAACAACTCTGGAGAATGAATAACAACTCTAGAGAACGAATAACAACTCTGGAGAACGAATGACAACGAATAAAAACTCTAGAGAATGAATAACAACGAATAACAACTCTAGAGAACGAATAACAACGAGTAACAACTCTAGAGAACGAATAACAACTCTAGAGAATGAATGAAGACAACGAATAACAACTCTGGAGAACGAATAACAACTCTGGAGAACGAATGACAACGAATGAATAAAAACTCTGGAGAACTCTGGAGAATGAATAACAACGAGTAACAACTCTAGAGAGAACGAATAACAATGAATAACAACTCTCTAAAGAATGAATAACAACTCTGGAGAACGAATAACAACTCTAGAGAATGAATAACAACTCTGGAGAACGAATATAAACTCTAGAGAATGAATAACAATGAATAACAACTCTAGAGAATGAATAACAATGAATAACAACTCTAGAGAATGAATAACAACGAATAACAACTCTAGAGAACGAATAACAACTCTAGAGAACGAATAACAACTCTAAAGAATGAATAACAACTCTAGAGAACGAATAACAACGAATAACAACTCTAGAGACAATGAATAACAACGAGTAACAACTCTAGAGAACGAATTAACAATCGAATAACAAGAATGAATAACAACTCTCTGGAGAACGAGTAACAACGAATAACAACGTTGGAGAACTAAAGAAGAAACCACTGAACAAAACAGCAGATCTAAAACTGTTTACACAACTCTAAGCAAAAGCAAAAGGATGTACAGTATTTTAGGCCCAAATGCTTTTTGTATTTCAGACTTTCCCGTTTCTACCGTGTTAAACAAGCAGCAGGACAATGTCATTTCAAAACTATTTTTTAGGTTTATATGGACATGTCAAAAACACGACCCGTCTGTGTCCTCAGATATGAGATAAACATTCAAATCAAAAAGAGCTTCAACTCAAAACAACTTTATAATTTATGTGTGTAACAAACTCGACCTGTCACAAACACGCCGCTCTCATCAGTCCTGACTCAGTGCTAGTGCAGCCTCTGCAGCTCAGGGAGGGAATCTCCAGCACCTCGGCCCTGCTCATGTAATTACACACGTCCCTCTCACCTGTACGATCTGGAGCGTCTCGGCCCTGCTCTTGTATGTGCAAAAGTCCCTCTCACTCCGGGGTGAAAATAACTAAATCTAAACTCAAACTGTCACTTAAACCATTTAACTGAATGTATTTCTGTGTCAGGCTGTGTATTTTTTCGTATTTAATCTGCCCTACCATTAACTGAGTTCATTCACAAGTGAGACTAAGGAGGAAACTAAGCAAACACCACAACACAACTGAAAGGTTTAACACCAATCTGTGCTTTCGGTTCACTGATATTCAAATTAACCACATCCGTCTGTAATGAAGTGTCATGTGCACAGAATCCCCAGACCCAGAAAAGAGAAAGTATGAAAATATAAAGCGTAAAACCTAAGAGGCACTGACAGAAGTCCTCCCAAGAGCCTTGTTTTATATGAAAAAGTGATTAAATGATCTAAACATGATCTAAATGTATGACAGGCCAAAGCTCCTGTGCTCTTAGTCCACAGAACCTTCATGTGTGAAGTGAGCAGGTCACACAGTGAAGGTCACTGCACACAGAAGGAGCAGGATGTGACAGTTGGTTTTGCTCACACCAGAGTCAGACATGTTAAAATGCATCAGATTTCTAAGGTGTGGAAAAAAACAGCACAACCCTGATTTGAACAGAATATAATAATGTGCCTTTAAAATGATTCGGCCCAAATCATATTCTAACAGATTGGTCTGTGTCTGAAGCTGTGATGTTCGTCTAATAAACCTACTTTCAGTCCTGCTCTCACCTGTACGATCTGGAGCATCTCGGCCCTGCTCGTGTGTGTGTATATGTCCCTCTCACCTGTACGATCTGGAGCATCTCGGCCCTGCTCATGTGTGTGTATATGTCCCTCTCACCTGTACGATCTGGAGCATCTCGGCCCTGCTCGTGTGTGTGTATATGTCCCTCTCACCTGTACGATCTCCAGCATCTCGGCCCTGCTCGTGTGTGTGTATATGTCCCTCTCACCTGTACGATCTCCAGCATCTCGGCCCTGCTGATGTAGCCGTTTCCGTCCAGGTCGTACATACTGAAGGCCCAGCGCAGCTTCTGCTCCAGTCCTCCTCGCGAGGTGACGCTCAGGGCGATAATAAACTCTCTGAAGTCGATGGTGGCGTCTCCGTTGGTGTCGAAGGTGCGGAACACGTGCTCGGCGAACTTGGAGGCGTCTCCGTAGGGGAAGAAGTTGGCGTAGATCTTCTTGAACTCGTCCACGGTCAGGTGTCCCGTGGGGCAGTCCTTCAGGAAGCCGCGGTACCACTCCTGCAGCTCGTGGTCGCTGAACTCCGTGTTCTCCCTCAGGTCGTTCAGCACCTCGGGGCGGAGCTTACTGTTCTGTTTGCCCATGGCTCCGCCTCCTCCCTCAGCCGCGATCTGCAGAGACAAACGAGCACAAACTTCAGGACACAGACGGAGACACACGGGAACTGGATTTCTACAAGTCTTTCTACAAGTCCTACAAGTTACAACACATATTTCTAACATTTCTCATGGTTCAGTTCAACACCGATTGTGTTAAAAATGGACAAAGGGAGTGTGACTTGGTTCTGGGACAAAAAAGTAAAAAACCCCAGGATCATGTAGAGCGAGTTCAAACCAAGATGAAGCCCGACAGCAGCAGATTCAGACAAAGGGAGCACGTGTTACCTCCGGTCTGTGGTTCAACATAAGATTTTGTGACTTGTAAACTCACTGATGATGGAAAACGACTCCGCACAAGTCGGCTGTACTTGTCTGAGCAGTCCTCTCCCCGCTCCAGGCTCTACAGACCCCTCCTCTCCTCCGCACAGATCTGGTCTGGCTCAGACCTCTCCCCTGCTCAGGTCCGGGCTCAGGTCCGGGCTCAGGTCTGGTCCTGTTTTTCTTCAGACCTGGTCTCCTGCACACAACAGCAGCAGCACACGGCTCAGTCTGTGGGACTCCATCAAACATTCATGTGTTCAGTACAGACCTGAGTGTGACTGGAGTATAAATTGCACCAGCCAAAAAATGCTTAATGAAAAAGAAAAAAAAAAACATATATAAATCGCACTTTTTGGGGGGGAAATGTATTTTATAAAATGAGAGAGCAGGAGCAGACATTTCCTGTGTAAAGTGAAGTTGTAGTAAAAACAACTAGAAGAGAGAAGAACAGACTGTTAACGTCACATATGAACAGTTCTTCAGATAAACTTAACATAAACAACAGAACAGAACAAGTTTAACAAACTCTCCATCTCACTCCAAATCACTAAATCCATTCAGTTCTTCATCCTCGGTGTCACTTCTGAACAACTCGACCTCGACCTCCGGAGGTAAACAGAGCGACGCAAACTCTTCTGTGTCGCTGTCGTCAGACTCAGCATCAGTTCCAGTTAGAATTATTCGTGTCTTTCTGAATCCAGACAGGATGGTTTCGGTGTCACTGAAGGACCTCGGGTTAGACTTGGTTTAGACCTGGACTAGATCTTGGTTAGACCTAATTTAGATCTGGCTTTGACTTTGTTTAATCCAGGTCCTGATTCTGATCATGGTTCGACCTGGTTTAGACCTCAGTTAGACCTAGACTTGGTTTAGGACAACTTACAGTTTAGACCTGGTTTAGACCTTGGTTTAGACCTGGTTATAGTTACAGAATTATTCGGGTGTCTTTCTGAATCCCGACAGGATGGTTTCGGTGTCACTGAAGTCCAGACTTTGTCCATCCAGTGACTTCAGGAAAGTTTCATGGTTCATCCTCCCGGTGTCACAAGTTTCTCTCTCACTCCAAACTTTCTTTCTGCTGCTCGATTTCCGTTTTCGGCTGCAGATTTCACGACTTACAAATCTGGTTTTGTTTTCGGGGGCATTTGTGTTCGGTCTTCTCAGTCTTTGTCTTTATGAGTTTGTTTAAATGTTAAATTTTCAGTGCTACAGAAGTAAAGGTGCGATCGACTGTCGATTATATAAAAAAAACTGAAAAAGCTGTTCTCTTTTTCTGTACATTGTTTGGTCTAAATAACTTGACCAGGTCTAAACCAGGATTAAACCAGGACTAAACCAGGTCTAAACAAGAACTAAACCAGGTCTAAACCAGGTCTAAACCAGGATTAAACCAGGACTAAACAAGGACTGAACCAGGTCTAAACAAGGACTAAACAAGGACTGAACCAGGTCTAAACCAAGGTCTAAACCAGGATTAAACCATGACTAAACCAGGACTAAACCAGGACTAAACCAGGTCTAAACAAGAACTAAACCAGGTCTAAACCAGGACTAAACCAGGTCTAAACAAGAACTAAACCAGGTCTAAACCAGGATTAAACCAGGACTAAACCAGGACTAAACCAGGTCTAAACAAGAACTAAACCAGGTCTAAACCAGGACTAAACCAGGTCTAAACAAGAACTAAACCAGGTCTAAACCAGGACTAAACCAGGACTAAACCAGGTCTAAACAAGGACTAAACAAGGACTAAACAAGGTCTAAACAGGTCTAAACCAGGATTAAACCAGGACTAAGGGGTGGATGTAGCTATATTAAATTTTTTTTATTAATTAAAAAAAAAACTGTAACAATTTTTCTGTACATTGTTTGGTCTAAATAACTTGACCCGATAAATAAATGCTTAAAAAAAAATAAAAATCAGCATTACAACTGTTAAAAAAAAAGGAGAATTATGAGTTTTTGTTTTGTTTTGTTTAGTTTTTTTTTCCAAATTCTGTCCTTATTACAGTCGGTGTTTGGATGTTTTCCTCGCAGCAGCTCGGCCGTGTGTCTGGGTGAACCGGCTCAAATGCAGCGTCTCTATTGGATTTGCAGAACACTGTGTCCAGCAGCAGCAGCAGCAGCAGCCGTGTCCTCGGGCTCCGTCACCTCCAATAAAAACACTCAGCGAGAGTCGGGCCAGACTCACGCAGACACGAGCACCTGTTCGTTTTGGTTAGAATAATTGTATATGTTCTCCCATATTTTCTATGTATTGTTTTTGTGTGAATAATGTTTTGTGCTCTCAAAGTTGGCGGAAAGGAGGGGAGGCACTGTTCCTGAAGATGCTACACCTTATCGGCCACCTGCTCTTGATATTCATATTTGCACGATGAATCATGTCTGGCGTTTCTACCGTTTTTTGCTGTTTTCAACCCCTCCCCTTTAGAGAAACACCCATTGTAACTAGGGACCCTCTTGTGACAATAAAAAGAGGAGACGCAGACAGTGCATCAGAGCGGGTAGAGACTGTGACGGTAAATGCACTCTCTGTCCTCCCTCCTCATGAGAAAACGATATTAATCTCTTGTCTTTCTTCTTATTTTTACAATGTTTAGGTGGGCTTAAACTCTGACAAGACTGAAGTCATAGTGTTTGGTCCACAGAAACAAAGGGACAGTGTCAGCAGTCACCTCCAGTCTCTCGCTCTAAAACCTTCAAATCAGGCAAGAAATCTCGGGGTAATAATGGACTCAGACTTGAACTTTAACAGCCACATCAAATCAATAACATCTGCAGCCTTTTACCATCTAAAAAACATAGCAAAAATCAAAGGTTTACTGTCTAAATCAGACTTGGAGAAACTTATCCATGCGTTTGTCTCCAGTAGGTTAGATACTGTAATGTTCTGCTCACTGGTCTCTCCAAACGAGCTGTGAGACGCTGCAGAACATCCAGAACATCCAGAACATCCAGAAACGCTGCAGCTCGGGTCCTGACTCGAACTAGGAAGTACGAGCACATAAGTCCTGGTCTCAGGTCTCTGCTCTGGCTCCTGTGGTCTCAGAGACTTTAAAGCAGCTCTGTTTGTACAAGTGTCTCCATGGCCGAGCACCAAAGTCCATCTGTGACATGTTAGTGTCATATGAACATCTCACACTCTGAGGAGCTCAGGGACCAACTCCTGCTGGTGCCCAGAGTCACGACTAAACAAGGGGAGTCAGAGTTTCAGGTTCATGCAGCTAAAACCTGGAACAGTCTGAACATGTGAGACAGACTCTTCTGTGACGCTGTTTAAATCCAGACTCAAAACATTTCTGTTTAACTGTGCAAATAACTGAAAGGTTTTCATTCCGCACTCTTCTCTCCAATTTATGTCTCTCTTTTTTAATTTTTAATCTTCATGATTATTTATGTTTTGATTTGTTTTTATTATGATTTTAATGTATTTCTTATTCTGTAAAGCACTTTGAATTACTTTGTGTACGAATTGTGCTGTACAAATAAACTTGCCTTGCCTTAAACCTGACAATTTTATAAACCGATCCACTGTGGACGCCGCTCCCAGCACAGTCCCAGATCACACACCGACGGGACACGAGAGGAAACACGACGCCCCCGATCTGTGTGTCGTTCAGTCAGTTTTTCAAAATAAAACCAAACATAAGAAAATGAAAAAAAAAAAAACAACTATTTGCGTCATTATTTGTCTCCAAAAGCAAAATTTTATAAAAAACAGATAATGATTCGTTTTTTCAGTTTTTGATTTTGTGTTTAAATGAAAAATGGAAAAAAACTAAACCAGGACTAAACCAGGACTGAACTGGTCCCAGTTTCAATCTTAGTCTCAGTCCTGATCTTGTTCCAGTATGGTCCCAGTCTCAGTCTCAGTCCGGGTCTGGTCCCAGTCTCAATCCTGGTCTCATTCCCGGTCTTAGTCCTGGTCTGGTGTACACTCCTGGTTCAGTCCTGGTTTAGTCCTGGTCTAGACGTGGTTTAGTCCTGGTTTAGTCCTGGTTTAGTCCTGGTTTAGTCCTGGTTTAGTCCTGGTTTAGACCTGGTTTAGACCTGGTCTAGACGCGGTTTAGTCCTGGTTTAGTCCTGGTTTAGTCCTGGTTTAGACTTGGTTTAGACTTGGTTTAGTCCTGGTTTAGACTTGGTTTAGTCTTGGTTTAGTCCTGGTCTAGACTTGGTTTAGTCCTGGTTTAGACTTGGTTTAGTCCTGGTTTAGACTTGGTTTAGTCCTGGTTTAGTCCTGGTTTAGACTTGGTTTAGTCCTGGTTTAGTCCTGGTCTAGATGCGGTTTAGTCCTGGTTTAGTCCTGGTTTAGTCCTGGTTTAGACTTGGTTTAGTCCTTGGTTAGTCCTGGTTTTAGTCCTGGTTTAGTCCTGGTCTAGATGCGGGTTTAGTCCTGGTTTAGTCCTTGGTTTAGTTGGTTTAGTCTTGGTTTTAGTCCTGGTCTAGATGCGGTTTTAATCCTGGTTTAGTCCTGGTTTAGTCCTGGTTTAGACTTGGTTTAGTCTTGGTTTAGTCCTGGTTTAGACTTGGTTTAGTCTTGGTTTAGTCCTGGTCTAGATGCGGTTTAGTCCTGGTTTAGTCCTGTTCTAATGCAGTTTCCTCGTCACAAACAGACCTGGACTTGTGTTTTGTTTCACACACGTTTAACTCACAAACCTCATTAGATAATTTTTCTTTCTTTGGACCACAGCAAGAAAAATGTGAGTCACGTTTTCTTTGTGTTTTGATCATTTTTAAGCAGATTTTCTATATTTTACAGAAACAAATGTCAGTTTATGCCTCTCTTTACTGTTGGTAAGTATTAAATTGGTGCAAAACAGAGACACCTGGGATATTTTTTTGTATAAAACTGGGACAAATCAGTGGTTTTGGATAAATCTGCTGGGACAGGAGACACTCTTTCTTATAATCGTCTCAGTTTCTTGCGTCTGCCGTCCAGAAACACGCCGCAGCTTCAAGAGTAAAAATCCTGACAGGGAGCGTGAGTACCTGACGGCCCCCGCGCCCCGGTTTGAGAAGCCCGAGGACCAGACGACCTCCCGGGGCGAGCAGACGTTTGTCCAAATTGCGTTTCCATGGAGACGAGCGGTGTTCTTGTTTGTGGATGTGAGTGTGCATAAAACAGCCAGCGCGACACACACACACACGAGAACTGCCACAGGAACACGACGTTACACACTTTATTTATCTCATTTT